TTTCTTTCTTTCTTTCTTTCTTTCTTTCTTTCTTTCTTTCTTTCTTTCTTTCTTTCTTTCTTTCTTTCTTTCTTTCTTTCTTTCTTTCTTTCAGAACATGATTTATAATTTTTTGATGGAGAGTATAGTTAGCTAACGTCTTGCTCTGTTAAACAACTTTTTCATGGATGTTGAACTTTTTTGTAACACCAGGGTGAACTCCCACACTCATCATTTTATTGGCGCTGCAAGAATTTGGACTGTTGTTACTCTCAGTGATGCCAAAAATGTTTGATTTCTGGGAAATGAAGAAGAGTTTGACATCATTAGCTATTTCTGCGTCTAGACTTATGAAGCTGATTGGATCTACAAGGCCAATCAACCTATAATTTAATTATTCAATTATTCTTACCAATTACATGGAGACATTATTATATTTAATTCAGTTTTCATAGTTGAATATTTGCTTCCTTATACCATTTGGTTGCCATTTTTTTTAAAGAATAAGAATTTATTACAGTATTGCCATTTACAATAAAGTTTACGTTTTTTACATTTTAATTGCTTGGATAGAAACTAATCAGTAGAACATGTGTGGCTACATTGTTACTAATTCAGGCTCTTTTATAGGGATGGAGGACTGAAAAGGGCAAAGGTTAAAGATACCTTTAAAGAAGAGCAGCAGAAGTTGTACAGTAAAATGCTGGTTGGCACCCAGGAGGACCGCAGCCGCTCCTGAAGGACCTTTATGGAGATGGACTGGCTCAAAGCTGGGCACCTCTTACTGATTAGGCGATCAGCAGCGGTCCTTTTCTGTCGGAGCCCCTGGACTGGAAAATTCTGTCCCTGATGTCAAAAGTACTCCATTTGGCTTCCTCGGTCACTGCCTCAGCCTGGCATGTTAAGTTGGCTTCGCTGTTACAGGTCATTCTGAGTCTGCTGCCCTGTGTTGGAATAGCTTGACCGAAGCCTCGCTTGCATTAGAAACGGAGCAAAGGAGAGTCTTCCTTGGTGGCAGTCTTTTAAGGAAAAGTGTTTATTTTTGTTTGTTTTTTTCTTTTTCACTTAATCGTTTTATATTTTGTTTTTAAGATTTTACAGTCATGTTTTTATGTTATGTTTCCGTTTCAGACTTGATTATACCTGGGTGTATAAAGGAGTTATTGTAGATAAAAACTAAATTGTTCTAAAGCTGAAACCTGTGACTGACTTGGGGTTTTTCATGACCGGCTTGTACCCTTGATTCAGGGCACAGTGCCAGATTTTGTTACATTTCAGATATTTTTATGGGCTTTTTTCCAAGATGAAAAAAAAAACTTGTATTTTAAGCATTGAGTTTTACATTAAGACTTGTATCAACACATGGCCACTGTAGGAGCTGCGCTTGAGACGTGTTCCTGATATGCTGTCTGTGACTTCTTTTCTTTTTTTTCTCCTCTCTCCACTGAATGTGCAAGTGCTCACATTATGAAGTGGAAAATGTGCACCCACAGTTACTCTGATGGAAGTCTGTAGATTTAGACACCTATTCTTCTTCCAGCTAATAATGTATAACTGGAAAAAGGGATTATTAGGAATTTCGTCAGCATTGTTCCTGTAAGGCTTGTGTCACGCAGGTAGCGATGTAAAATCATAACAGTGGGTCTCTTCACTAAACACATAGATATAATGGCAAATAACAAAAAAAAATACTCATACACCTTTTAAAAATACATCTTTTCATTGACTTCCTGCCATTGCAGTGAACAGTGGCTAGTTTATTTTAAGTAAACTCTAAAAGCTATTGTGTTTATCTGCCCCGCCTCACCAATGACCTTTTTCCTAACTTAGCAGCCTCAAGGAGGTTTCATGAACAGACTGCAGCTTTACTTTGAACTCAAGAAACTTGGTGGACGGCCTCATTGGTTTCTCCCTGGGACCTTTGTCTCACTGGTCTGCTGTTATCAGGGATAGTCGTTTTAGATTATGTCAAATCATTTCATAAAAATAAATGTTCAAGAATGTTCACTACTTTTGACTTTGTTTTTTTTCCCTATATCTAATGTTTATAAGTATTGCCTTGACTTGCTGTTGTTTTCTGTCTTTCTGGATAGTTTTTCGTTGTGATGCCTCCAGTCTGGCATCAAGATTGGAATCTTTATTTTTCTAGCACTGTATTCTTGCATTTATTCCCTATCAGGGTTTAGTGCTAAGGATCAGTGCGTGAATGTACAGCACATTTGAAGAGATTTAAACATGTGATTACCTGAGATGCTTATGTGTGACCTTAAACAAGCCTTTCATTCTTGAAAACCCTGCAGTGTGGTTGATTTAAAAAAAAAAAAAAAAAAACTCTGCAAAGGCGAGTCGGCCAAAGTTCCTTCACAGTGATTTGAAAGACATTGCCAGTAATCACACACTTGATTTCAGTTCGTGCTGCCAAAAGTGGCAAAACAAGTTATTAGGTTTACACTATCTGTCACACAGAGCCAGATAGGTTTGGGTAGATTTTATCCCTTAATTTATTAAGTCACGATTTTAAAACTGCATTGTGTGTTTTGTCATTATAATTGTCCCACGTTAAATATTTTTTTTGACAGTCTGACACATGTAACTGTGACAATTATGCAAAGAATAAACCAGGAAGGGGGCAAATATTTGCTGAGTTTCAGCACACAGTAGAGTCAGATGTCATAAGCTCACTTTTAGTCTGATACCTGCTCATGATATGCGTCCAAATGACTAAAGCATTTATTCTTAGAAGTGCTGATATAGGGGATAAAACAAAAGACAGACCTGTTTTAAAGTAGATTGAATAAGAATTTTGAATGCATAAAAAAAAATCAAAACATCTTGATCTCATGGGTGTCGATTGATGGAAAGACGATAAACATCAGCTATTTCTGGGTCTAGACTTATGAAGATGATTGGCTCTACAAGGCCAATCAACCTATAATTTAATTATTCAGTTATTCTTACCAACTACATGGAGACATTATATTCAATTCATTTTTCATAGTTGACTATTTGCTTCCTCGTACCATTTGGTTGCCCTTTTTTACAGAATAAGAATTTATTGCAGTATTGCTATTTATCATAAAGTTTATATTGTTTACATTTTAATCGCTTGGGTAGAAACTAATCATTAGAACATGTGTGGCTACATTGTTTACGAATTCAAGCTCTTTCATACGGATGGAGAACTGAAAAGGGCAAAGGTTAAAGATACCTTTGAAGAAGAGCAGCAGAAGCTGTGCAGTAAAATGCTGGTTGGCACCAGGAGGACAGAATCGAATTTGAGATTATTGGAACTTGACAAAATGTGGAAAACTTGACAGTTCAGTTTTATTTATAAATCACCACAACAGTCGCCTCAAAGCACTTTACATTGTGCCCCCTTAAAAAGAAGAAATTGGTGTCAGTGGGAATGAAAATCCCCCTTTTAACAGGAAGAAACCTCTAGCAGGACAAGGCTTAGGGGAGGACAGCCATCTGCCATGAGGGGAGGAAGACAGGACAAAGACGCACTGTGGAAGTGAGACAGAGATGAACAACAACCACAAGGTCTGAAAACTTTCATACTGCACTGCCTCATCCAAGAATCCAATAAACCACTTCTTCCTCCTTTCAGTGAGGCGTCCTTCCAAACCATTTGATTGCAATAGCTTCAAGTGGATTCGTTGATGCGGGTAAATAAAGCACACAGTGCTTGGAGGAGGAGGAGAAAGAGGAAGCAGACAGCGGCTTTTGATTGTGTAACCCATGCCTTGGTTGAGTAGCTCACTAACAACATTACGGAGTGCCAGAGTCCAACCCTGCCACATGGCACACATCCATCGACTCCAAATAAGTCTTTTATAGCTTCTGGCTCCACTGGAAACTAAGGATGGGGAAATGTTGTTATGCTGCTGTGGTGATGAAAAGATACTGGAGAAGGCGGGTTTTCTAAAGAAAAATGACTAAAGTGGAAGTCATGCATCTGTTGGCACAGGACTGCACATTACAGTGTAGTTAATGGTGATAGCAGCAGGGTATAATCACTGATCATACAGCTAAGGGGAAGTGAGATTAAGGCAAGATGTACCTGTTATATAATTTGATTGTGCGCTGAAGAAAAGCAACCTGCCCCAAGTGAAAAGAAGTGCTACACAGGGAGAAGATCACTAACTTCCTGTTTTGTGTCTTTAGACAACGAGACTGTGGTACGCTGATTTGCGAGTTTAAAATCCTTTCAGGTGTTTTTTTTTTCAACAACAAAAACTTTATGTGGTCTATAAATTACATGTTAGGTTATAACACCTCACAAAGCATTGTTGTAATAATGTAATGCTTAGTGTGGTTCAGGAGTGGTTGCGGTAAAAGCTAGCTGTTTTGTACAGCAAGTCGTGTATGTATGTATGTAAAGGTTTCTGTGACATTCAAATGCTGTGAGATTACCTCCAGGTGATTTTATTATTGAGTGCTGGTTGGCTTATCACTGATAAACTTGTATTGTATTTTATTGAATACAGCAAACCAGCAGCGATCGGAGCAAATGGGCGGAGCGCCAGGAGTTCATAACGCAACACCGCCCGCTTGCAGAAGGCTCTCCGAGGGTTTGTCAGCAACAGATGCCCAGTCCAGGCAGCTTAAGAAGCCCTTAAGAACCTACTAGTCCAATTAATCCCGAGGAGGCGGAAATCCACACGTCTGAACGGGCAGTTACACAAACTTGTTACCTGCTCTCTGACTCCACGACGATGATGAAGACGAGCGCCTCTCTGCAGGCGTACGTTAACCGTGCGACACCGAAGCCCGCTATCAGCAAACGATTTGGACCAGAAGCGGGAAGGCGTCCGTGAGGGATAGCTGCTAGTCGCGACTCAGATTCTCTCTCAGACACTCACACACATTATAAACCTCGGTAAGCTCCTGCAGAGTTGATCGCAGGCCTGCATGAGCATCACTGGCGACGCTGCTGCTGCTACTACGGAGTTTCCTCGGGACTGCTCGCGTCGTTAACATGGAAACGTTCACCGGTGTGCTGCTTGTCACCGCAAACGTCGGCTCACTCTTTGACAATGTAAGTAGAACGGCATCACAATTAAAGTCACACCATACTTAAGGTACAGTCAGAGTATTATATAAACGCTAATAGGCTTAAGTAAGCCGGTAGGAGGGTGTAGGGTAGGAGGCAAGTTTTTTTTTTTTTTTTTTTTAAATATTGAATCGGCTACATTGCTAGCTTACATCATAGGTATAAGGATGTAAGCAGTGAGCTGAGCTCTTCTGGTGCTTTATGTTTTTTTTGTTTGTTGTTGGGGCTTTTCGGTAATTGACGTACATTTGCCTCGTAATGCGACGCTTTCAAGTTACCAAGCAATGTTTCCTTGTCAGCTGTCAGCAGCAGATACTGTTAATTAAAAGGAAACAGTCAAAGTTGACTCATAATTAGACAGGCTACCTGTTGGACGCGTCACGTGCCAGACTGGACGGGTGGCTGCAGCTCAGGTGGTAGAGCAGGTCACCTACAAATCGTGAAAGGTGGTGGTTCAATTCCAGTCTGCATGCCAAGCATCCTTGGCAAGACGCTAACCTCAATTTGCTCTCCGATACATCCATCGGGGTGTGAATTTTAGATAGAAAGAGCGTGCTTTTCTTAATGAGGGAAGCTACTTTGAGTGCTCAGATAAAGTAGTTAAATCTACCAGTCCTATAAGAACCAGTCCTTTTACCGTTTACCAAATCCTTCTGAACCTGTCTGCAACACCCAGACATGAACAATAACAACACACAGGTCAAATAAATGTTGTCATTCAGAAGTGTTTGTTTTTTTCGTTTACAGTTATGCTTGCAATTAAATTATACATTCATACTGATAATAAATAGTGAATAGACCTCTTTAACCCTCGCCATGTTGACATGAAGTAACAAATTGCCCTTATAAATAAAATAAAATAAACAACAAGAGTGCAGTGTAAACAGGTGAACGAGAAAAAACAAAAACACCACCACCAACACAATACTGTGCAATTTACATGCTGGAAAACTTTGTAAACTTTTGATGCTGTTTGATAATGATCAGCTCAGCATCTGTGCACACACATGTACAAACCTAATGATCTCCATACACACAGATGCATACACAATGCAGTGCATAATTCACAGAACAAAACATCAAGTTGCATTGAGTGTTGGGCATAACTCATTCCAAAGTAAACTAAGGTCAGCAAAGGTTTAATAGAGGATTGCAGGTTACATAAAGTTTATAACAGATTTAGTGTAGAAGTTGATTTATTGCCAAGGATGTTAACTCATTTGAGTTAACATCCTTGGCATCCTCTCAGTCTGCAAAGGTAGCCGTGCCTTTGCAGGAGTCCTCCAGATCCTCTATGAGGGTAATGAAGTTGCTGCCTCTCAGATTGCAACCATACTATTTCTCATCAATCCCAGGTGTAAAATCAGTGCTTATGATGTCACTACTGGGAAAGTGTGTTTGTTTTGTATTCAGTAGTCAGTTTATAGCAGCCTTATAAAACTGCGGAGATTTAGAGCGCCATGGTAGCTCTATGAGTCTGTAACAGCCCAGTCTCACTTTTTTGCATGTGTCCAAAAACATACAGTAAAACTACCTTTTTAAACACAAGATTAAATAATTTAAACTGTAATTTAACTGTCCCAACGGGTTCCAGCTCTTTCTCTGTTTTACCTCGGCTTTGCTTAACTTTCAGGGAGGAGAGCTCTTAGACTCATGGAAATTTGGCTCAGGACCCGTTTCCGGTTGCCAGACCTTGCTCCAATGAAAACATGTCAGGTCCCATTGTGGGAGATATGTAAACAGATGAATATCTTCCGCGGTGGACTTGAACTTTTCCACTTACTTAAGTTAAGCCCTCTCATTTCTATAAACAAACATTCCTAAATTATTCACCCAACTTTTGGGTGAGAGCAGGACCTGCAGCACAAGACAGAGTAAATCCTTTTCCTTTGCAGTTCTGGGCTGGCTGAGTGTCCTGTTAGAGCAGCTCAGCATATGAGACATTAAAACTCTCACCGATATTTACTGCCATCTTGGCTACCATGTTTATTACTGAGCTTGTGTAATGACTAAATATATACTTATTTATATATTTTCCCTTGTATAAAAACAAATGCCTTCATTTTCAGTCATTCCCAGCTGACATAGGACGGGATGTGGTCACCACTCTGTGACAAGACCAATCAACTTAATCAGCCTGTTTAATTCAATCAATCAACCAATCAATCAAAATTTATTTCTATAGCACACTTCACCCGTTGCCTACTGGTGGTGGTCAGAGGGCCCGGTGGCGCCAGTGTCCGGCAGCCTCGCCTCTGTCAGTGCGCCCCAGGGTGGCTGTGGCTTCAATGTAGCTTGCCATCACCAGTGTGTGAATGGGTGGATGACTGGATATGTAAAGCGCTTTGGGGTCCTTAGGGACTAGTAAAGCGCTATATAAATACAGGCCATTTACTATTTAAAAAGACCACAGCTTCACACAAGTGCTGCAGTGCAGATTACAACAATAGACAAAGAAAAGAGTTTAATTTCTACTATGCCTGCTGTCTGACAGTTTGCTTATTGCTCTGGTCAGAAAGAAAAAATAAAGTGTCCAACTGGTTGTTGTAAGTTTGCCTCATCCAGTTTTTAACATTGTCACGTCTATAGAAAGTATAAATTAAAAGTATGTCAACTAAATGCAAATGTATTACAGCTGGTGGACAGAGTGTTTGGAGCAAGGCTGACGTGAGAGGAGTCCTATCGGTCACAATGGCTGAGTCGCTGTTATCCCTGGCATGCAAATGCACTATGCAAAGTCATTTCTCAGGTGCTAGGAAAAAAAATGGCCTTGCAGGAGACTGCATATTACTCTGCGCCTACTCTGGGCTGTAAATCCAGTAGTGTCACTGTAAGAAAGTACATGATCAAAGTTGGTATCAATTGATGAACTACAAGACTGAAGATTGTGGCAAAAGAAACAACTGTTTTACCTGGTAGTACCAGCTACTAGCTATACAAGTTAACAAAACATGACCTTAAACAGCAACAACAAAATCATGGGATGAAAACAGAATTTTATTTGATGAGATGGGTGGATCAGTATTGTCAGGGTACAGCACCTCACATGTAGCATCTAAAATATCTGCCTGCTTTTCTAAACCTGGAAGCACTGAACCTGTTTGTCTTCTTTAGCTGTGTATAAGGCTTATCTGCTGACTTTTTTGAGTAACATTTTACTATTAAACCTGAATATCAACTGTCTATGAAAAAAGACACAGACCTTCATAGATGACAAGCTGATGTTGGCTGGACTGCAACAGGTGCAGCTGTACTTGTACATGGCACAGGATAATGTTTCCAGGAAATCCCTAATGTTTATGTTAACCTGCTCAGAGTTTGAGATGACTTCCTGACTTCCATTTGAGCTGATTATCCATTAGCTGATATGGCAGTGCAATTTTAAATACAGAAGCTTTTCTTTGTTTTGCATTAATCTGAGGTTTCTACTTCTGTCCTTATGCCCCTTCTGTTGGGCAGCATAAATGAGCAAAAATACATCATCATTTGATCATCATTTATGGACTCCATGTAAGAATTAGGTGGAATATTTGAAGCTGCAAGTTATGTAACTCTTAAGCATTAAAAAGAATTTGACCATTTCTGTCACATTTACTAGTCACTTATTTATTTTTATTTTTTTTTACTTCAATTTGCACTTGTAGCTCTGTGCATGTTTCTATGCATTTCTCTGTAGGGGACTTCTGTTGTCCCCTAGAGAGATTGTCCATATATCTTTCTTTCTTTCACTCAGTATCATATTTGATCAATAATCGCAATCTTTCGGGCATAATTGTTTTTTCATAGGACGATGAAATGAGCATTTGCAACATTAAGTCAATGGGTTTGAAAAAAAACAAACATATAACACACACCTTATATGCTAGATAGATCAGGCCATGGACTGTACGACTAATCTGGCACATGAAATATAAACTATTGTGAACCAAGTGCCCTGTTAGAGTCATACATAGCAGTAAAATAAAGAAAAAATAATTGTATAAAATAAATAATTAGTTTATTCTAACAGAGGTCTGTGACATTTTCTTGACTGCAAAATGTAAAGCAGTATATTTAAAATTAAGTGTACCCTTACTGCTTCCATAGCAATTAAGTAGGGAAGTAGCTGCCAGGTGCTGCTAACTAAATGAACTTGATTAACTGATCATCAGCAAGTGTGAGCACCTTTATAAAAGAAGATGTTCTGGCATATGTTAACAAAGACAGAAAGACACCAGCCATGATCTTGAAATGAAATGCAATGAAATTGCAAATGAAAAACCTAAGATTCTTAGGTTTCAGATTCTACAAGCCTCAGTTAGAATGTTAAATGTTAAAATTCATGACAGTACAATTAAAAAAAGACTGAACAAGTACGGTTTGTTTGTGTTGCCAGGAGAAAACCTCTCTGACAAAAACATGACAGCACAACTTTGGTTTGCAAATTTGCATCTCATCAAACCACAAGATTTCTCAACCAATGTCCTTAAGAAAGACCAGACCAAAATGAAGATGTTTCGCCATCCACAGCTCCGCATTTGACAAAAACCAAACACAGCGTATCAGCAAAGACCTCATACAAGTTGTCATGCACGGCGGTGGAGGGATGATGATTTGGGATTCTTTTGCAGCCAGAGGTTGTTGGGGGACTTGCAGTGATTGAGCAATGAACTCTACTGTATGCAAAAGTATTCTAAAGTCAAATGTGAGGCCATCTGTCTGACAGCCCAGATTGGGTCATGCCGCAGGGGAATGATACGGTGGCCCTGAGAGGCCAAATGGAATGCAACTTCAGAAAACACTTGCAAAAAGAAAAATGCTGCAAAAAGAAAAACACCTGCAAAAAGAAAAATGCTGCAAAAGCACACAAAACACAATGGAAATGTTTCTGGGGAGACAATAACCTGACTGTGTCACTACCCGATCCGTACCGGAAACCCGATCCGTACCCCGCATGCGCGAAAGGTGTCTACTTTCGGTCGAAGCGTTTTACGATAGTTACGGGT